AAAATAGGCGCCTGCTCTATGGCACTTTTAAATTGTGTAGACGGCGATTAAGATGTTTCGCCCTGTGCATGTACCGGTAAGTTGTGGTATGTACATGCCTGGTACCGCGCTGAGCAAGACGAGCGTGCACTGTTTTCGTCGTTGCTGATGGGAACAGTTGCACGAACTCGCTTGCTCTTGACGAACCGGAGAATTTTGCTTCAAAGACAAGATAGCAAGATAGTCCCGACCAGCTATTTTCCCTCGACCTCTCGGCCGCCAAACCTAGCAAAACGTTGCAACTGCCCGCAATTTCCACCCTGCCTTATCGTCTCATGGAACGGCTGCCGCCAGAGCTCATAGAGTCGATCATCGATACTCTTGTGGACGGCATAGATCAGGATGCCTGGATCTGCGACAGGTCCCCAGCCATCCCGGTAGCCCTCAGAGCGTTGGCCCTTGTCGCGCGCGGCTTTGCGCGTCGTTGCCAGACTCGTATCTTCTTTGGAATCACCGTTGGCGGTTACGCGTGCATCCCTCCGCCCCGACTTTCTGCCCTGCTCACGGAGAGCCCTCATCTGGCGTCCTACATTCGGGCGCTCTACTTTGGGTCTGTTGTCCAGATCAACGAGTCTATGGCGGCCAGTGTCGCTCACATACTCTCTTCGGTGACCAACCTCGGAGCGCCTTGTGCTCAATCCAGCGGTATATGGCCACCTTCAACCCGGGCCCGTGCGCGAGGCGTTTCGACCCGCATTCACTCTGCCGAATCTGCGCCAGCTTTCCCTCGTTGCTTTTCAATTCGAGGACTTGCACGAGTTACAGGAGTGCCTTGGCGGGTGCAAGAGCCTCAAGTCGCTCATGATGTACGACGTTCGATTTGACAAGACGGGTGCAAATCTCACTGAACGCGTCAAAAAGCTGGGGGTCCCCGGGCCGCCGCGCGTTGTGCTGGACACACTGTACCTATGGCATTTCGAGCACTTCGAGAAGGAGCTGGTGCAAATGTTACTCGATGCGTTCACCGTCGTCGATATCAGGCATCTGCGCTGCCTGTTCCTCTACGGCACCTCGATGGGCGCCTTGCTTCAGGCGAATGCACCCACGATCGAGTACATTGAAATCCTATCCTACTCGAAGGAAGAAGGTGCGTCGTGCATTCTTCCCCGTCCGCTGTACATATTTATTATTGACCCCCCATCTCCGGCGCAGACGCCCGCAATGCCGTGCATGCGATTGCGCTCGCGAATACCTACGGTCTGCAGGCGGTCAAGCTTCAGATAATGACTGTTCCTGAATTGATGAAGCTGGTCCTCAGCTTGGGGGACTTCGAGCAAATCGTGCACTTCAAGCACTTTCTGTCCAAATCAATCGGGAGATTCGGCCCACAAGAAAGGTTGTCGATGATGCGCCGGCGCTGGTGGAGGTGAAATCTCCATCTGTTCGGGTGGGAACATACCCTTACTTGAAAAAAAATTGTATGCCGGTTCCTGGCTGCAGTAGACAATATAAACAGTATATGTATCATGGCAAGGTCGTGAAAGGTCGTACATGGTATACTAAGCACTTGTGCGTGGAGGCTAAGGCTCGTTCTCCATCAAATCGGCCCACAAAGCGTCCATCTCATAAAGCGTGGACAGATGTTTTCCTGGCACCCACTTCAACGTGGAATTCTTGTAATTCTGCTTCAACCAATTCGCCATATCTGGACCCAGATCGTCGTCCGCCGATGCAGCAATCATCATCCGTCGACCGTCGGTATGTTCATCGTCGAGGAGTTTGGGGCAGAAACCCCAGTCAGAGTGGGCGACGTCGGCGAGTTCGATAAATCCGGCCCACGACTTCGAGGTACTCTTGACCATATTGGCCGCCATGTTCCTCTCAAAAACACCCTCTTCGAGACCTTGCCGATGGCGCCAGGTCGCAAACGCGGCACGCTCCTCCGGTGATGCGTCGTCGAATAAAAGCTGCCGGATGAAGACCTCCGCCTTGTCCAGCGTGCCCAGCTTCATGGAAAGCCCAAGCGCCGCCATGCGCTGCAGAGGCTGGAAAGGGAGGATGCGTGCAGGCGGTCCGACGGAGAAGTAATTCATCCAAGTCATGGACTTAGTGTACTCCTTGTGCCATTTGAAGGGCGAGAAGGGGGCAGCTAAGAAACATCCGACGACCTTTCTGCCAAGGGGAAACGCGTCAAAAGGAGCGCCGTAGAGCATCTGCGCAGGGATGGACCCATAGGAGCCTCCAGCGATATAGATGCGCAAGTCATCGGTTTTCGGATGGAGGTGGGTTATGAGCTCCGTCATGTCGGAGGCGAGGACGGCTGCATAACTTCTGGAAGTGGGTCGGGGAGATGAGAAGCCCCATCCAGCGAGCGTAGGGGTAATGTGGTGCGCTCTCTTCTCGATGAGCACAGGTGAAAGGACGTTAGGGGCCTTTCCTACGCCAAAAGCACCGTGCAGGAAGATCACGACGAGAGAGCTGGTTGGGTCTCCAGCATCCTCGTATGCCAAGGTTCGGCCGTCAGCCAGAATTAGGTATTCCTCGGTAGACATGGTAGAGCGCAGGAACCTGCGGACCTGCCTGCTTGGCCACTCCTTATATTCGTCCACTGCGCTGCGTAGCTGTCAGATTTTTGTCACTTGGAATTCAGAATCACAGGTCCTGGCGCGGATGTGAGCATGGATAAGCACAATGCTGCGTCATGATCACTGCTGCGTCGCCCATGACACTTCAGGGCGAAGATGACTCGGAGTAGTCGGAGTCTTGAGTTTGTGCATTTTGTTTTGGTCGGGCCGTCTGCAATCCAGATCTCAAGTCATTGGCGAGAAGAAGACGGATCCATGCTTCAATTTGAGACAGCAGAAAGATACGCTGGTGTCCCTTGGAGGTTCAAGGCAAAATGGATGAAAGCAAGTCAAGATCAAGTCAAGTTCGGAATCTTCGGATCCGCGGATCAGAACATCAGTCAGTTTTGCTCTTGACCTCAACGTCCAACCATGTTCAACCACCTTGCGACCTCAAAACGTACCTAAAAAGTACTTTTACCTCCCCGACTACGCACCACCGGCGAACCTCGTATCTTTGGTCTTCTTCCACTCTTGATACGCCGCGTACACGTCGGACTAGTACTGCGTCTGTGCTCAACGAATGCTTGTTTGAAAGATACAAGTATCTTCATATTTAAGCCCTCTACTTCTTACACCACAAGTCCGTTTCGCCAGGGTCCGAGCTGTCGGTTGAACTATCTAGTATCCGACCCGTCAGATGACAATCTCTTCTTCTTCGTAACACTCATCTCGACAATTCCCTGCCACTGCAGTTCCAAAGTATGGCAGACTCGACCGCCGATACATACTCCCGCGATACTCTCAAAGATCGAACGATCCCGTTCATGGTTTTATCCGATGCAGAAAACCCCCTAACTGCCCCCATTTCTCAACGTGGTTCTTTTCTTGAGCCATCCGATATCGCTAGACTTCGTTTTACTGTGAGAGGGAATGCGATAGGTATGCACATGGCGAAGTTTGGTCGATTTCGCCTATGTAATGTCTTTCACAGTTACTGGGGGCGCTGGCGTGCTTGCACTCGAAGCTGTGCGTGCACTGCTCGAACATGGCGCATCTGGAATATCCCTGTTTGATCTCACCCCGTCTTTTGAATCCGCACACGCGATATCTTCACTAGCCTCTTTGCGCCAGACCTTTCCGAATGCCAAAATCTTGGAAAAAGTTGTCGATATAACTTCAGAGGACGCTGTGAACCGTGGTGTGAATGAAACTGTCAGTGAGCTGGGCAGCGTCGATATACTTCTCTCATTCGCCGGCGTCGTTGGCGCTGTCCATGCCACGGAGCTGACAGTACAGCAATGGCGCCGGATGCTGGATATCAACACAACAGGAGGCTGGATCTGTGCACAGGCTGTCGGAAAGTGTGTCATCTCTACCCTTCCTCTCAAACTCTCTTTGACTCTCAATGGGATCGCAATAGACAAATGATCCAACAGAACACAGGCGGAAGTATCGTGTTCACGGCATCAATCTCTGCCCACAGCGTCAACTTCCCGCAGCCGCAGGTTGGGTACAATGTGTCCAAAGGTGCGATCCTTCAGCTCAAGAACTCACTTGCCGCCGAGTGGGCTCGTTATGGTGTATGTACTCCAAATGAAAGGCTGAATGACAACTCACTTGTGCGATATAGATCCGGGTGAACAGCATATCCCCCGGATACATGGACACCGTGCTCAACGAGGGTGATGGGCTGGCAGCTGCGCGAGATATATGGGCCAGCCGCAACCCCATGGGCCGCATGGGCGATCCGAGCGAGTTGGCTGGAACCGTGATTCTTCTGTGCAGTCCTGCAGGAAAATACGTCAATGGCGCCGATATCATTGTAGATGGTGCGTTGTTCTTTTGGAACCGAGACAATCGTAACGATCATGCACTCTCTAGGTGGTGGATCTGTTTTCTAGAGGCACCTACCTGCTCGCATATTGTTGTCTTGGGTTTCACACTCGAGGGCACTGTATTAATCCATCGTTCCTTCCTCGGAATTCATCCTCTACAAAGTTAGAAGATTTTTGAGTCGGCGCTTTAACCGCTTTCTGGTGGAGACGTTCAATCAACTTCTGCTACTGTAGTCTACCGAGCGAAATGGCAAATGCGGAGCGATTTATAAGATCGTTTCATCTCAATCGCCGACACTGAAAGGGTCTGGAGCACGAAGTGTACAGGAGGATGCACGCCCTTCATGTTTGTTGGCCACGGAATGAGGTGCAAGGCTTACCAGGGATTCCAGTTTCTTTGGAAGTCGGAGCAATTAAAATCAGCTTTAGGTAAGTAACGCGTAAAGGATGCCCATCTGCCTTAACTTCCGTTTCGCGATCGATATCGCGGGCTGCCGAACGCAGGGTCTGAGCGGAGGCTTTCATCTGAATTATTTCAGCGGTATTATATTTAAAATCGAGATTTCAAGGAAACCAGCTCGTTCTGGACGACACTCGTCGCACAGGCAATCCTTTCATCGGTTCGATGGTGTAGTTGGTTATCACTTCTGTCTAACATGCGAACGAGAGCGGTCTAATAACCAACCTCACAAGCTGTTCACAGGCGGTCCTCAGTTCGAACCTGGGTCGAATCATGTTTTGCTTCAGCGGTCACTGCTGCGGCACGTCGGACCGCTGCGGGCCGTGGCTGAGCGTGGACGACTGATCATCGATATCAGGAAGATCACCGCATGACCTTTTTGCGCGCTTCGGCACTCCCATCAGACTGTGGACAAGGGACGGGTCTCAGCAGCTGCTGGTCGACGAGCTTGTCAACGCGCAGCCAGCTGCTACCAGTGTAAACCGACTAAGAGCAAGAATTGATGGTGAAATTTGCCATATCCGCATTGGTTTGATATCTTATGTAACGGGCGGTAGTGTTCCGCTTTGGGACATCGGCTCAGTTTCCCACCGACGCACTCCGAAAGAAGCGACAACGCAAGTTACTGGCAGGGAATTTATCACAAGGCCTGGGCGTGAGCAGGGCAAGTCCCCGACTGTCTATCTGAATAGCTTTTTGTCTATCGTATATACCATTCGTACAACATGTCCAAATCTCGCCCACTGGCGCCTGCCCAACACCCTAAACAGATGCGCAGACCGCCAGCCCGGAGTGTCATGTCCCCCAATAAAGACAACCAAATAATAAAAAAATAGGGAGATGAAGACGGCGGAAAAGGATGAAGCAGCAGCCGGCAATATATCCTACACACGCGCCAATGTTCGGTCTATCCACAGCCCCAACACCCCGCACCCTGACCGTACGCTCGCACGCTTAGGCCGCGCGCTTCTTCTGCCTGCGGGGCGTGGAGGCGCCGTTGTTGTAAGGATACTTCGGCTTTTTCTCTGCTGGCTTCAGGATCTGTAACGCATGGACTCAGTATGTTGGAAGGACGAGAGGTAGGAAGCGCACCTGGAACGAGCACAGAAGTGACTCGTCTACGCTCATCATCGCGCCCGCGTTGTCGAACTCGCCACAATAATTCGGCGCCGAGAACAACGTCACCAAGTGCCGTTTCGCGAAAAACTCGTACCCGTCCTCAACGACCTGATGCCCGCGGACGACCTGGGGTCAAAGAATCAGTCCAACATCTCTTGCACGTAAAATTCTGCAACGCACTAGATCCATATCGTGCTTTTGCAAAAACCGCGCAACTACGTCCGGCCCAAAGGTAAACGACACCCCGCGGTCGTTCTCTGACCAGCCGGTGATGTCCTTGTCCGGGTCGGACCACAAAAGGTCAGACAACAGCCCCGTGTCGGGCACATCCGTTGGCCGCATGACACGTCGTATCTGCTCCATCGACTGCAGATCCGGGCTGAGCCCGCCATGCATCGTGAATATCTTCTCGTCGATAATGGCCGCAATAGGCAGGCAGTTGAAGCAGTCCGTGAACGTCTTCCACAACTTTATGTTGTACCGCCGCTTGCCTATGAAATTTCCTCGTCAACACGCCAAATTCCCGGCGCAAACAAAGAGGAGACGCACATTCGTCGTAGAACCCGTATATCCGGTTGATGCACGCGCACTCGTGGTTCCCCCGTAGGATGAAAAAGTTTTCGGGGTACTTGATTTTGTACGCCAGCAGCAGGCAGATCGTCTCGAGCGATTGCTTGCCGCGGTCGACGTAGTCGCCGAGGAAGAGGTAGTTGGCCTCGGGCGGGAAGCCTCCGTACTCAAACAGCCTCAGCAGGTCGTAGTACTGCCCATGGATGTCCCCTGCGCCGACGCCCCGTCACTACACATGTCAGGGGAGCGGAGCGGCACACGACGCACCGCATATCTTGATTGGGGCCTCGAGCTCGAGGAGGATGGGCTGGTTGATGAAGATCTCGCGGGCCTTGGTGCAGAGATACTTGATTTCGTACTCTTGCAGCTGCACTGGCTTCCCTGGACGGTTGCCACGAACTGGGCAGAAAAAGCGTCAGCGTGCGCTGCGGATAAAGAGCCAGCGCCTGCGGACCTTCTAGGAGCTTGTCAATGACCGAGTCGAGGTCAATCTCTATAGCAGAGTCTGCCATGCACGATTATAACTGGGGCTTATACAGCTGTATACGGGTATCTGTCGAGTGGGTATCGAGATAAAGGGGGAACAAGCAGGGGTCGTGGGGGGTCGTATATGAGAGCAGCAACGAGCGTTGAGGGCTGTGGGTATTGGCGGGCGGCGTGAAGTAGATTCAAAGGGCAAGAAACTGACTCGGGAGTCGAGACGATAACCTCGCGTGCATTCCAAAAGCGGTAAACAAGGTCACATGCACAACTGATAGGGAGAAAAATCGGACGCCCTTGGGCCAACTTTGGGCGCGACAATTCGCGGTGGATGGTGCAGTGAAAATTAAACGAAGTTAGTTGAGGCAATTAGAATATATGTACAGGTGCACGACATTGCATAGTATGTATCGCGTGTTTCGGAGCGCAGTATGTAGAATGAGTGAGTGCAGTATTGTGAGTCTCCCAGAGAGATAGAAAAGATACAACAGATTAGGTGTTCGTAGGCGGATCGTTACCAGTACCCGCAGCCGGGGCCCCAGCCCGACGGCGTCTCCTCCGTCTGCAACAGCAACAGTCAGCATTGCGATCCGTACAAGCAGAGAAACAGAGAAACCCACCTCGGAAACAACGGCCCTTTAGGCATGATCCGCTCGTCCAGATCCAGTGCAATATTAGTCGCGCTGTGCAGGCCCTGTACGAGAAACGTCCGTTAGCCTTCTTCTAGATCCGAAAACGTGGCCCAGAACGCAAAGAATGCAAAGCACAAAGTAAAAGGGAAAAACGCACCTCGATCCAGTCCACAACATCCCCCACATCCCTCGCCTGCAGCAGAAACTGCTCCCCCTCGAGCCGCAGACGGATAACGTGCTTGCGCTTGAGGTAGTCGTTCCCGAGCCCGCTCTCCGCATGTTGAAGGGTATACGCGCGGATGAGATCCGCGGGCTCGGGCTCGGGTACGTCCGTCCCCGCCGCGCCCATGGGTTTGGCCTTGTCCTTTCCTTTGCTGCTGGAAGGCGTCACCGGCGTGCGCGCGCTGAGCATCCCGGAGCGCGCAGACGACGTGAGGCTGACGTTCGACTGCGTCGGCGCCAGTGATGTCCCTGTTGTACTCCCACTCCCACTCGCATTCGTACTGGAGTTCCCGCTCCCAGGGCTCGAGCTCCCGCCAAACGACGGCCGCGGAATCGACAGCGAGGGCCGGGACGTGGTCGGCGTCCTCGGGACATTCAAGTTCGGCAACTCGCTCTTCGATCTCGCATGCGAGCGCGGCTTGAGCAGACTGAGCCCGAGATTCAACCGCGAGCGGCTCGCAGGGGGGCTGCCGTCTGTCGGTGATGGTGTCGTCGCCCTCGATGATGCCCGACTGCGCGCAGACGACATGCTTGACCGGCTCGGGATAACCACCTCCGTCGTCCCGTCCCCGCCCGGTTCACCCGTCGCCGCCAACGCCTCCGCTTCACCCGCAATCTTCCCCTGCTGCGCCGTCGCAGTCGCCGCCGCACGCGCTTTGACCGCAGCCGCAGCCTGCGCCGCCGCACTCGCCACCGCCGGCCCCGTCGCCGCCACATCCCCTGCACCCACCCGCCTCTCCCACCACCCCTCCCCCGCACACCGATACACCCGAAACACCGTCCCCTCCAGCTCGCACACCACCCTCCTCCACTTCCGGTCCTTCGCCTGCACCCCCGGCGCAGAAAACTCCATCTTGCGCGGCATCACCCCACGCAGCAGGATGTCGTTGCTGTACCCGGGCAGCGCCTCGCGCCCCTCGTCGTCGCGCGGCACGATGCGCGTGTGCGCGAGCGGGTGCGCGGGCGGGGGGTTGAAGAACGGGGAGGGGAAGACGGGGAAGGTGTACGGCGGCGGCGCGGCCATGATCTCGGGCATCGACCGCCGGCGCTTCAGCGTGCTCGCGCGCCCCACGCCGCCGTGCCCATCATACGCCGGCGCGTCCCCGGGCGCCTCGCCCTCCTTCCCCTTGCCCTTCCCCTTGGAGTCGCTGTCGTCGCTCGGGGACTGGAAGATGTCGACCATGCTGCGCGACGCGTGCTTGTACATCGTCGGGCGCTGCACGACGGGCGACGATACGCGCGACATGGCCACGGGCATCGGCATCGGCATCGGCACCGTGCGCACCGGGGGCGACGTCACCGAACTGGCGGCGGGGGTCTGTGCCGGGACAGGTGTGCGCGCGTCCCCATCGGTGGGCGTGCGCACCGAGAAATAATCCGCGTGCGCGGACCACCCCTGCTGCGTCGGCGTGTTAGCGCTGAGGACCGTCCTGGAGTTGCTGCCCTGCGACGACGGATGCGGGCGCATCGGCTGCGGCGCCGCGATCTCACTGCGCTCGTTGCTTCGCGCCTTGCCTTTGCCCTTACCACTATCTTTCCCGGCACCAAACAACCCCCCAACCTCAAGCGACAGCGACATCGGCGTGTCCAGCCGCAGAGGCACGAACGGCGACTCGGTCGCCCCCCGCCCTTCCTCCGTCGCGTCCCCATCCCCGTCCTCCTCCCCGTCCTCCCCTTCCTCCTCCCCATCCTCTTCGCCCTCGCCCTCCTCCTCATCCGACTCCTCCCCCGCATCCCCGCCCTCCTCCGCCCTCCCCTCCATCGCCAGCGCCGGCATACTCCTCACCACCGCCCGACTCGCCTCCCTCCCATGCGGCCCAAAAATCACACTCGACCTCCTCCCCACCGTCCCGCTCCCGCCCAGCACCGACACCTCCTCTTCGGGCGCGGGCGTGGGCGGCGCGACGGACGGCAGCCGGTGCAACGGGATGGCAAGCGGCGGCTGCCGCACGATGATGCTCGGACTCAGCCGCCCGAGCTCCGAGACGGGCGAGCCGGGGTTGAAGCTCATGCCGAGGTTGAGCCCGCCGGGCGAGGACGGGGCGAAGCTCGAGGACGAAGTCGACGCGGAAGTCATACTATACTGCCTTAGACTCATCGCGATGCTCGGCGGCCTTCCCATGCGCACGCTCCCGCCCACCATCCCTGTGTTAGCAACGTTGGTGAAACGCGAGGAGGGCGAGGACGGCGGGGGCGTATACGAGTACCCCGCAGACGAGGTGCGGGCGCGCGCGTGCGCGACGAAGGACGT